TACTAAATAATTAAAGAAGAGTTAATATTTAGTCCTTTCAAATTGGTCCAAAAAATAGAAATAGAAGGACAACTTCCAAACCCATTCTATGAAGCCAGAATTACCTTGATTACAAAACCAAAGACCCCAATAAGAAGGAGAATTACAGGCCAATATCCCTGATAAACATGGATGCAAAAATTCTCAACAAGATATTAGCAAATTGAATTAAACAGTACATTAAAAGAATGATTCACCATGATTAAGTGGGATTTATTCCTGGGCTGCAGGGCTGGTTCAATATTTGCAAATCAATGTCATACACCACATTAATAAAAGATAAGAATCATATGATCTTCCCAATGCATCTAAAAAATTGGACAAAATATAGCATCCATTCTTAATAAAAACTCTCAACAAAGTAGGGATAGAAGGAACATACCTCAGCATCATAAAAGCCGTATATGTAAGGCCTGTAGCTAAAATCATCCTCAATGGGGAAAACCTGAGAGCCTTTCCCCTAAGGTCAGTAAGGGACAAAAATGTCCACTCTCACCATAACTGTTTAACGTCGTGCCAGAAGTCTTAGCCTCAATCAGACGACAAGAGGAAATAAAAGGCATCCAAATCAGCAAGGAAGATGTCAAACTTTTACTATCTGCAGACAACATGATAGTCTATGTAGAAAATCCAAAAGACCGCACCAAAAAAAAAAATGCTAGAATTAATACAAGAAATCAACAAAGTCACAGTATATAAAGTCAATGTGCAGAAATCTGTTGCATTTCTATACACCAAAACAAAGGAGCAAAAAGAGAAATCACGGAATGAATCCCATTTGCAATTGCACCAAAAACAATAAGATACCTAGGAATAAACCTAATAAAGGAGGTAAAAGATCTATACTCTGAAAACTGTAGAAAACTTGGCAAAGAAATTGAAGACAGAAAGTAATGGTAAAGCATCCCATTCTCAAGGACTGAAAGAGCAAATATTGTTAAAATGTCTATACTACCCAAAGCAATCTACACATTCAATGCAATCCTTAGCAAAATAACAACTACATTTTTCTCAGAGCTCCAACAAAAAACTCTAAAATTTCTATGGAACCACAAAAGATCCCAAATAGCCAAAGCAGGCCTGAAAAAGAAAAACAAAACTGGAGGCATCACAATTCCGGTTTTCAAGCTATATTTCAAAGCTGTAGTCATCATAACAATATGGCACAATCACAGACACATAGATGAATGGAACAGATAGAAAACCCAGAAATGGACCCACAAACATATGGTCAACTAATTTTTGACAAAGCAGGAAAGAGTATCCAATGGAAAAAGACAGTCTCTTCAACAAATGGTGCTGGGAAAACTGGTTAGCAATGTGCAGAAGAATGAAACTGGACCACTTTCTTACACCATACAGAAAAGTAACTTCAAAATGGATGAAAGACCTAAATGTGAAACAGGAAATCATCAAAATCCTAGAGGAGAACACAGGCAGCAACCTCTTTGACCTCAGCTACAGCAACTTCTTCTTAGACACGTTGCTGAAGGCAAGGGAAATAAAAGCAAACATGAACTATTGGGACTTCATCAAAATAAAAAGCTTCTGCTCAGTGAAGGAAACAATCAACAAAACTAAAAGACAACCAATGGAATTGGAGAAGATATTTGCAAATCACATACCTGAAAAAGTGTTATATCCAAAATCTATAAAGAACTTATCAAACTCAGCACCCAAAAAACAAATAACCCAGTTAAGATGTAACCAAAAGTCATGAATAGATACTTTTCAAAGAAGACAGACGTATGACTAACAGACATATGAAAAGATGCTCAATTTCACTCATCATACGGGAAAACAAATCAAAACCACAATAAGATACCACCTCGCACCTGTCAAAATGGCTAAAATTAACAACACAAGAAACAACAGATGTTGGCAAGGACGCAGAAAAAGGGGAACACTTTTGAACTGTCTGTGGGAGTACAAGCTGGTGCAGCCACTCCAGAAAACAGTATGGAAGATCCTCAACAAAACCAAAAATAAAACTACTTTACAATCCAGGGGGGCCTAGATCTCAATCGGTTAAGCCTCCAACTTTGGCTCCGGTCATGATCTCGTGGTTTATGTGTTTGAACCCCGCATCGGGCTCTGTGCCGACAGCTCAGAGCCTCGACCCTGCTTGGGATTCTGTGTCTCCCTCTCTCTGCCCCTCCCCCCTCACACTCTTCTCTCTCTCCTTCAAAAATAAACAAACATCAAATTTTTTTTTAAAGAACTACCTTACAATCCAGCAATTGCACTATTGATTGTTAACCCAAAGGATACAAAAACACAGATTTGAAGGGGCACGTGTACCCTAATGTTTATAGCATTATCAACAATAGCCAAACTATGGAGAGAGCCCAAATGACCGAAGAATGGATAAAGATGTGGTATATATACACAATGAAATCTTGCCATTTGTCATGACATGGATGGAGCTAGAGAGTATTATGCTAAGTGAAATAAATCAGTCAGAGAAAGACAAATACCATATGATTTCACTCATATGTGTAATTTAAGAAGCAAAACAGATGAACACATAAGAAGGGAGGGAAGAAAAGGAAGAAAAGGAAATAAACCACAAGGACTCTTAATGATACACAACAAACTGAGGGGTGATTGAGGATGGTGAGTGGGAGATGGGCTAGATGAGTGATGGGTATTAAGGAGAGCACTTGTTTTGATGGATGTCGTATGTATGCACTGAGTATTGTATGTACGTGATGAATCACGAATTCTCTTTAAAAAAATATTGCACTGTATATTAACTAACTAAAATTTAAATTAAAAAAAAGGAAAAAATGGGGCACCTGAGTGGCTCAGTCAGTTGAACATCTGACTTTGCCTCAGGTCACGATCTCATGGTTCATGGTTTCGAACCCACATTGGGCTCTGCACTGACAGTGTGGAGCCTGCCTGGGATTCTTTCTCCCTCTCTCCCTCTGCCCTTCCCCCATTTGTGCTTGTTCTCTCTCTCTCAAAATAAATAAACTTTATAAAAAGTTAAAAAAAGGAAGAAAAAAAACAAATAAATTACACTAATAGCTGGTTTTGAAAAAGATAAACAAATTGGCAAACCCTTACCTAGACTAAGGTAAAAAGAGAAGACTCAGCCCAGAAATAGAACAAACAATCCTAAAATTTGTATGATACCATAAAAGACCCCAAATAGCCAAAATGATCTTGAGGAAAAGAACTAAGTAGGATGCATTATGCTCCCTAATTTCAATCTATATTGCAAACTATAGTAATCAAAAGAGTATGGATTTGACTAAAAACTAGACACAGAAATCAGTTGGACAGAACAGAGATTCCAGAATACACCCACACATATGCAGTAAATTAATTTATGACAAAAGTTGTGAATATACAATGGGAAAAAGATTATCTCTTCAACAAATGGTGTTGGGGAAAACTGGACAGAGACATGCAGAAGAATGAAACTAGGCCACTTTCTTACACCATATACAAAATTAACTTGAAATGGATGACAAATTTAAACATAAAACCTGAAATCATAAACTTCTAGAAGAAATCCAAGGGGGTAATCTCCTTATCATCAGTCCTGACAATGATTTTTTGGATTTGATACCAAAAGCAGAAATAAACAAGTAAGACTCTATCAGACTAAAAGTTTCTGCACAGCAAAGGAAGTCATCAGCACTATGAAAAGAGAACCTAAAAAATGGGAAAACAAACATTTGAAAATCATATATCTGATAAGGTGTTATATCCAAAACATATAAACATCACTAACTATATCAACATCACTAATCAATTCAATAGCAAAAAGATACGATTAAAAAATTGGCAGACAATCTTAACAGACATTTTTCTCCCAAGAAGACATACAGCAATCCAACAGGTAAATGAAAAAGTGCTCAGCATCACTCATCATCAAGGAAATACAAATCAAAACTACAATGAGATGTCACCTCACACCTGTCAGAATGACTAAAATTAACAACTCAAGAAACAACACGAGTCGGTGAGGATGTACAGAAAGGGGAATCCTATTGCACTGTTGGGAGGAATGTAAATTGGTGCAGGCACTCTGGAAAACAGTATGGAAGTTCTTCAAAAAACTAAGAAACAGAACTATCTTTTGATCTAACAATTCTTTATTGTTATTTACTTGAAGAAAGTGAAAACATTAACTCAAAAAATATATATGATCCCCATGTTCAATGCAGCATAATTCATAAGAACTGAGATATGAAAACAACTTAAGAGTTCATCAGTAGATGAATGGGATAAAGAAATATGGTATATATACACAATGGAATACCATTTAGCTATACAAGAAGAAGGAAATCTTGCTATTTGCAACAATATGGATAGACCTTGAAGGCATTATGCTAAGTGTAATAAGTTAGACAGAGAAAGACAAATACTGTATGGTCTCATTTATTTGTGGACTCTAAAACAAAACAAAACAAAAATGAGTGCATAGAGACAGAGAACAGATTGTTGGTTGCCAGAGGCAAGGTTGGATGAGATGGGTAAAGCAGGTTAGAAAGTACAAATTTCAACTATAAAAGAAATAAGTCATGGGAAGGTAGTGTATAGCAGGGTGACTCTAGTTAATAATACTTTATTGTATATTTGAATATTGCTAAGACAGTAAATGTTAAAACTTTTCATTGACAAGAAAAAACATATAACTATGTATGCTGATGGATGTTAACTATACTCACTGTGGTAATCATTTCACAGTATATGCTACTACCAAACTATTATATTGTACACCTGAAACTAATATAATATTATATTTCAATTATGTCTGAATTTTTGATAAAAACAGAAGGTTCATAAATAAAATCAGAAATGAAAGTAGAGGGGCACCTGGGTGGGTCAGTCAGTTAAGCGCTGGACTTTAGCTCAGGTCATGATCTCCCCGTTGGTGACTTTGAGCCCCACATCAGGCTCTGTGCTGACAGCTCAGAGACTGGAGCCTACTTCAGACTCTGTGTCTCTTTCTCTGCTCCTCCTCCTCTCATGCTCTGTCTCTATCTCAAAAATAAGTAAGCATTACAAATTTTAAAAAAAGAGAGAAATGAAAGTAGAGACATTACACCTGATATCACAGAAATACATATGATCACAAGAAACTATTATGAACAAGTATATATGCCAACTAATTGGATAACCAGGAAGAAACGGCTAAATTCCTAGAAACATAAAACTTATTAAGACTGAATCAAGAAATAGAAAATGTGAAGAGATCAATGAGTAAGGATACTGAATCAGCAATTTAAAACCCCTGACTACAGAAAACTCCAGAACCAGATGCTTTTCCTGGTGAATCTTACCAAATACTGAAAACAAAATTAATCCAATTATTCTTAAAATCTTTCAGAAAATTTAGAGTATGAAAAATTCTCATGCTGATTTATGAAGCTAGCATTAACCTCATACAAGAATCAGATATAGATAGTACAAGAAAAGAAAATTATAGATAAATATCCCTTGTGAATATAGATGTAAAAAATCTCAAAAAAATTAGCAAACCAAATTCAACATGTTACAGAACCTGGTCTGGATTACCCAGCGGAAGAACCAAGCAGCACTTGGACATCTTGGAAGGCAGGAGGTTTATTTCACACCGGCAGGCTCAGAGGACATCACTCTCCAGAGGTCTGAGTCCTGAGGCTAAGCATGGGGGACAATTTATAGTCTGTTACTTCCGCATTAGTGGCAATTTGTCAGCTTGGCACGAGGGGCAGGAAGAAGAACCCAGAAGGAGAGTCTTTGGGCGGGGACTAGAATTCCCCTATCAGTCCTGTCGGCCATCTTATAACATAAATTTTCCCTATCAAACAGTGATGAGGTTTGAGGGTGGGGGGTGGGGATCCAGAGCTGACAGCCAAGAAGAATTCTTGAAGACGTCTTTGATGCAAAATTGGGATTTTATTAAATCAAGGAACAGGACCTGTGGGTAGGAAGAGCTGCACTGAGGTTGTGCACTGGTTGTATACTATTGAATTGGGGCAGTAAAGGCAAACCAGAAGTTCCAGAGAGATTTTCATAAGCTAAAGACTCACAGATTACTGGAGGCCTAGCTATTGCCAACCTAAGGTTGTTTTTCCCTCTAGTAAAGCATTAATATCAAGATAGTAGGGAGTTCCTGAAGAAATGTTATACTTTGTATTTGTCTCAAGTATTTGTCAATGGGCTGCAGGTTATAATGAAATTCAATTTTATCTGCCATTTCCTTCTTGCCTTTGTTTCCCACATCACTGTGGAGGGGAGGTGATGTTGGGGTTCCAGGAAACTGAGTCTATAGGTTTCTGGAGATTAGGCTATTGATTTCCTTTTTCTTGTATTTTACAAAGATATTTGTAAACTCATGGAGACTCTATCAGCTTAATGATTTGTCTTTTGTCCTTCCCTTTGTCCTTGGGCAGCCAGGAGTGCCTGAGAAATGGAAAGCCACACATATCGCACATGGGGGTGGGTAAGCAGGTAATGCTAGCTTGTGCTTGGCCCACAGCTTGCTTTATGGTCCCTCATCAAAAGCACATTAAAAAGATGATGCATTATAATCAAGTGGGACCCATTCCTGGGAAGTTGGGATAGTTCAACATATGCAAATCAATAAATATGATATACCACATTAATTGACTAAAAGGTGAAAATCATATGATTCTCTCAATAGATCCAGAAAACACATTTGATAAAATACAATATCTCTCTATGACAAAAACCCTCAACAAATTAAGAAACATACTGCAACATAGTAAAGGTCTTGTAGAGCAAATCCACAGCTAACATGATACTGAATGGTGAAAGATTGAAAGCTTTTTCTCTAAACTCAGGAATAAGAAAAGTGTGCCCACTCTGGCTATTCATTCAAAATAGTACTGGCATTTCTAGCCAGAGCAATTAGGTAAGATAAAGAAATAAAAGACATCTGAATCATAAAGGAAGACAAAAAATGGTCTTTATTTGCAGGTAATATAATATTATATAGAGACAATGTTAAGGACTCAGCCAAAAAAAAAAAAAAACTAATGAAACTAATCAAGGGATTCAATAAAGTTGCAGGATATAAATTCAACATACAAAAAAAAAAATCTATTGCATTTCTGTGCACTAACAATGAACTAATTGAAAAAATAGCCATACTATTCACAAGGGCATCAAAAACAATAAAATACTTAAGCATAAATTTAACCCAGGAAGTGAAGGATCTATACAATGAAAACTACAAGACTTTAATGAAAGAAATCACAGAAAACACAAACAATTGGGAGGATATCTCATGCTTATAAATCAGAAGAATTAATATTATTAAAATGTCCATCCTACCAAAAACCATCTATAGATTCAATGCAATCGCTATCAAAATCTCAATGGTATTGAGATTCTCTCTCTCTCTCTCTCTCACTCACTCAAAGTTAAATAAATAAACTTAAAAAAAGAAAAAAAATGGTATTTTCACAGAAATAGAAAAAACAATTCTAAAATTTGTATGGAAACACTGAAGACCATGGATAGTGCCAAGTAAATCTGAGAATAAACAACATATCTGGAAGCATCACACTTGCTAATTTTAAATATACTACAAAGTTATAGTAATCATACAGTGTGGCCCTGGCACAAAAATAGACTCATAGACCAATGCAGCAGGATTAAGAACCCAGAATCCTCACATATACATTCAACTAATATTTGACAAGGGAGCCAAGAACACACAGTGGAGGACAGATAGTTTCTTCAATAAATGCCGTTGGAAAAATAAAATTGAACCCCTATCTTACAATATTCCCAAAAATTAACTCAAAATTGATTAAAGATGTAAACATAAGACCTGAAGCCATAAACTTCCTAGAAGAAGACACAGGAGAAAATCTCTTTGATATTAGTCCTAACAAATTTTTTTGAATACTAAACCAAAAGTGTAAGTAATGAAGACAAAATCAGCTGGGCCTACATCAAATTGTAAAACTTCTGAGCAGCAAAAGAAACAACCAACAAAATACAAAATAAGCAGCCTATGGAATGGGAAAAGGAGTCTGATAAGGAGTTAATATCCAAAATTTATAAAGAACACATGCAACTCAGAAACAAATAAACAATCTGATTGAAAAAAAATGAGCAAAGGAACTGAATAGACATTTTTTCCCCAAAGAAGACATCCAAATGGCCAATAAGTACATGAAAGTGTGCTCAACATCACTAATAATTAAGGAAGTGAATATCACACCTACAATGAGGTATTACCTCACACTTATTAGAATGACTATCATAAAAAGACAACAGATAGTGAGTGTTGCTGAGGATATGGAGAGATAGGGACACTTGTGCATTATTTGTAGGAATGTAAATTGATTCAGCCACAAAGAAAAACAATTTGGAGGTTCTTCAAAAAATTAAGAATAAAACTACCTTATGAGCCAGAAATCCCACTTCTGGGTATATAGCCAAAGGAAATGAAAACAAGATACCAAAATGATGTCTGCATGTTCAAATTATGTAAGTATCCAAAGTGTCCATCGATAGATGAATAGGTAAAAAACATGTGTATATATATATATATATATATATATATATATATACCCATTCCCCTGCCCACCTCCCCTCCAGCAACTCTCAATTTGTTCTCTATCATTAAAAGTTTGTTTTATGGTTTGCTTCTCTTTTCTCCCACTATGTTCATCTGTTTTGTTTCTTAAATTCCACATATGAGTGATATCATATGGTATTTATCTTTCTCTGACTGATTTATTTCACTTAGCATAATATACTTTAGCTCTATCTACATCATTGCAAATGGGAAGATTTCATTCTTTTTGATGGTTGAGTAATATTCCATTGTGTATACATACTACATCTTCTTTATTCATTCATCACTGGATGGACATTTGGGCTCTTTCCATAATTTGGTTATTGTTGATAGCACTACTATAAACATTGGGGTGCACATTCCCCTTTGAATCAGCATCTTTGTATCCTTTGGATAAATACCGAATAGTGCAATTTCTGAATTGTAGAGTAGTTCTATTTTTAATTTTTGAGGAACCTCCACACTGTTTCCCAGAGTGGCTGCACCAGTTTGCATTCCCACCAACAGTGCAAAAGTGTTCCCCTTTCTCTACATCCTCGCCAACATCTGTTGCTTCCTGTGTTGTAATTTTAGTCATTCTGACAGATGTGAGGTGGTATCTCATTGTGGTTTTCATTTGTATTTCCCTGATGATGAGTCATATTGAGCATATTTTCATGTGTCTGCTAGCCATCTGGATGTATTCTTTGGAAAAATGTCTATTTATATCTTCTGCTAAATGGGCCAATTCTTTAAAGGCAGAAAAACAAATCCATAGTATTAACCTAAGAAGTATATGCATTGTATAACCAAACATTACATCATCAACATCCTCAAATACAAGATTTCTTACACATCAACGTGTAAAAGTACACATTTTTATGAACTGCAAATTTATATTTTGACATTTTAACTCCCAGAATTTAACAATGTGACTGTGTTTAGATGTAAGATCTTTAAAGAAGTAACTACTATAAGATAAACTTAGTAGTGTGGGCCCTAAGCCAATATGACTAGTGTCCTCATAACAAGAGGCAATTAGAACACAGGCACATACAGAGAGAAAAAAAAAAAAAAAAAAAAAAAAAAAAAAAAAAAAAAAAAAAAAAAACATGTGAAGACACTGGGATAAAATGGCCACGTACAAGCCAATGAGAATGGCCTCAGAGGAAAACAACCATGTTAACACCTTGACCTCAGACTTCCCGCCAGAACTGCGAGAAAACAAAATTCTGTTGTTTAAACCGCCTTCTTTGTGGTAGTTTGTTATTGTAACCTTAGCAGCTATTATACATATGCATACCAAAACAATGAACAAAGATAATTAATTTACAAATAATAAAAATTACAAGCCCACATCTGTGAGTTACTGTTCTAAGGGTTTTACATAAGCAAATACTGAACCAGCACAATATGTTCTGATACTTATTATTCTGGCAGAATTATACTCAACAGGAAGCATTAGTCTACTTTTTCCCACTAACCAGGTTTTGCTGGGGTCTACACACACCTAGACCCCATCATAAAGAAGATGTGGTCATAGCCTGAAGAGACATTTATTGTTCAGAAAGTAAAAAGAAAATAATTTCCCTCATGCACAGATATGCTTCTTGGGAGGTCTCATTACACTTTTTTCAAGTTTCCATAAGGTAGAACAGCAGCACAGTTGTCCTTTGGGAACACTTCCTAAGAGGCTCTCTGCTACTCCCATGCTTACTGTAAGAAACACATAGCAATTAATACAACTATGAAACAAGTTAATTTAAAAGTAAAAATGATAGACTTCATTGCAACTGAAATATTAGCTAATTATGATACGACTTTCTGTTCTCAAACTACTCTTTTCATAGTTATTTTTTAATGATTCCTCAAATAAAGTCTCTGAATTCTCCTTTCTGATTGAAATTTAAACAGCCCTGCTTTAGATATTAGATAAAAACAGCGAGGGAGGCGTGCCATAAGAGACACAAATACAGAGAACAAACTGAGAGGTGCTGAGGGGTTGTTGGGTGGGGGGATGATCTAGAAGGGTGATGGGCATTAAGGAGGGCACTTGTGATGAGCACTGGGTGTCTTATGTAAGTGATGAATCACTAAATTCTACTCCTGAAATCATTTAAAAAATCATTTAAATCATTTAAAAAATAATAAAAATAAATAAAACGCCCTGCTTTTAACCCTTAGAATTTTATTTTAAAATGCTACAGAGGGGCACCTGGGTGGCTCAGTTGGTTGGGAGTCCAAGTTTAGCTCAGGTCATGATCTTACGGTTTGTGAGTTCAAGCCCCACATCGGGCTCTGTGCTGACAGCTCAGAGCCTGGAGCCTACTTCAGATTCGGTCTCTCTCTCTCTCTGCCCCTCTCCCGCTTGTCTGTCTCTCTCTCAAAGATAAATAAACATTAAAAAATGCTACAGAAATGTTGGCAAGATGACAAAATAGGAAGCCCCACACGTCATTTTTCCACAAAAAAATCAATTTAACAATGGCATACGGACCAAAATACCTTTATGAGAAGTCCAGAATCCAGAGAAGAAGATGCAGTAATTGAGATGAGTACAAGAGTAAGACAGCAACAGGGAGAAATACCATCGTTTTGTTGCCTGGGGCAGCTAAGAAAGAAAGAAGAGGTGGGTGTCTTGCTGTGGCCAACACAGCTCTGTAAGATGGAGATAAAGAGCAGAACCTGAGGCTTCTCCCCTAGGGGTAAGAGAGCAGAGTGGAGCCTGCTCCAAATTCCCCACCCATCAGTGGGGACCAAGGACCTGCTTTCTGTGTCATCTCACTGGGGATGCTGTAGGGACTGATATAGTTTGATAGGGGCAGATAAGAACAAAAGAAAGAGAGTAGGTAGCTTGAGGCAATGGAACAGCTCTGTGAGATTGAGAGAATGTACAAAACAAACAAACAAACAAACACTGAATCTTCTCTATCAGGAGGGAAGGAAAAGAATAGATTCTGCCTCCAGGGTCTCAGACCATGGTATAACAGTCAGACACCAGAGCCAACAAGACCTAATGGGCTTCTGGAGAAAACAAACAGCAGGAAATCATTTTAATTAGAAGTCTACATGCACAAATCCAGAGAAGTCACAAGCATAGAAAACATGTGAGAGGCTCCCAAAATTTCTCACGAGGCAGACTGGTGGAGCCAAGCCATAAAGGCTGGGAGAGGTAGCTGTTTTTCCAAATGCAAAGCTACAACAAACAGGAATTCAGGGAAACAAGACACAAAGGAACAAAATAAACCTCCAGTAACTGACCTTAAAGAAATGGGGTTCCATGAATGTCCTGACAATGAGTCAAAGCTTTGTCTTAAAGAACCTCAGTGGGTTAGGAAAAAAAAAAAAAAAAAAAAAAAACTGAAGAAAAAGGAAGCAACGTCACCAATGTGGTGACACAGCTCATTCATGACTTCAGAGCCTTCATAAGAAGACCCCCAACTAGCAAGTATCCAGAGACAAGACACCACTGACAAAATCTCATAACCTAGGAGTGAGGCAAGCACACCCCTCTGCACTAGAAACAGAGAAGAACCACTTAAAAGGGTGAGGGGAGTGGCTATGCTCTAACCACATGGCCTTTCCCCCAGGATGACACAGCACAGAACTGAGAAAACCCCTGGACCTGTAGTTTTTCCAATGGAAAAAAGAGACCCAAGATGGACATACAACTTCCTCAGCACTGTGGGACACTTCCTGGGAGGGCAACTCAGATCTTGCCTCAACAGGATCCACAGGGGAATCCAAAAAGCTTGACCATCAGGCATCAGATAGAGCTGGAGAAGAGGCACGGAGCTTCTATCAATAAGAGCCCAGATCTTGGTGGGCCAAATCTCAGCTTGCAGAGGCATAAAGCAGAGATCGTAGCCAGGGATCCTGCCCATCTGCAGAGCCAGTCTGGTGACACTATCTGGTTCAGGACTTTGACTGGCAGTTATGTCTCACTTGGATTTCTAGCCAACAAGCCAAGCCAGCTGTGGAGCCCATACACGGCCCCACCCAGGCAAGGAAGCAAATTCACAGCCCTGCACAGTTGCTGAGCCTAGCCTCCAGTCCTGTACCTCCAAAAGCATGACCACAAACACCCAGCACCAAAGAGTATTTCCCACAGCCTCCTTGGGCAGGGCACCATACAGACCAACAGAACAGAAGACAGAGCCCAGAAATGAACAGGTTTTCCTGTTAAAAGGAAAACCAAACAGCCAAAATGATGTGACTTAGGCCAAGTCACCACACTGGGGCTTAATCCCTAACCTAATTGCAGTTCCAACTTTCCCCCCAGAAATGTAGTCTTAACTGGTCAGTAAGGAATTTTCTGGTCAGCACTAATATATTATTCTGTCATATATACCCTCTTCACGTCTCCAAAGAAAGATGGGGTAATACACCTAATGAGACTCTTGTCCCCCAAAGAAGGTTCACTAATCTAAAATAATCTTTTTTTTTTTATGTTTATAACTTCCTTGCCTTGCCTTTAAAAACCTTTCCCTTGTGGGACACTTGGGTGGCTCAGTCAGTTAAGTGTCCAGCTCTTGATCTCAGTTCAGGTCTTGATCTCAGGGTTTTGGGTTAAAGCCCCACTTTGGGCTTAATGCTGGGAATAGAGCCTACTTAAAAAA